GTATTGTTTTTTTTTAAAATGCATTTCAATGGATCCTTCCGCCTTAAGTTTTTTACAGGATTGTACTTGTATAACACTATACAACAAAATATTCTAGTTTTCTTGTTTGTGGGCAGTATTTTACAGTAACCAGAGTATTTATTTTTCTAGTTGTCGATCAGTCTTCTCTAAACCTACTAGCTGACTCATCGCCTGAGCTGCTGTAACACTGGTCTTACAGATTAAGTGTTTTGAAGGTTGTTAGTGGGTTTCTAAGTGGAAAAGCTGGGATGCGCCTTCAAAATTCCTGTTATGTGTTGACATTTAACGAGTGGGCACAGACTTGTGCATGCTATTAGGCAGTCTAATAACTAAGCGTACGATGGGAAGAACATGTGCTGTTAACTCCAAATGTTCAAAGACAACACAGTCGTGAGCGGTCCTGCCCATTTGAGCGTGTGAAGCTTAGCCAGAATCAATCTGAGCAATCAATGCTAATAACTTACTAGTATGCCTGCGTGCAAACAGATTGTTAACTAGTGAGATGAGAGTGGAGATGGCAGGAGACATGATGGGATCTGCGCCCTCATTACTAACAGAAGCTTATTAAATTTAAGCCTCATCAGTTATGTTTTGTTCCTAGCTCGAAGGAGAAAGTACAACCACAGGTTCTGCATCTGAGCCTACCTTTCTGTGTGGAATTTGTAAGTTTCCTTGTGTTTATGTGGATTCCCTGGCTACTCCAGCTTCCTTCCTCAGTTCAAAAACATGCATGTTAGGATTCTGCATTTATTTTTAAAGTGTGTGCCTGTACATCTTTCTGTTGATTTGCTCGAGGTATACCTCACCTCACGCCCTGTGATAGGTAGCTCTTAAAAATGTCAAACATCCAGTGAGCGGCAATTCTTCACATGGATAAGTGATGTTGATGAGAGGTTAGAGGAGAACGTGTGCACATGCTCTGAAAAACTGAACTGCTAAAGAGTGGAAAAAGCTTGGATTAAAAAAATCTGTCTTTGGCCTGAGGCGTGCAGATGGTGAGCTCAGAGAAGAACATCATGGACCCAACCTGCCATGAGTCAACAGTCCAGGCAGCTGCTGCTGGTGTAATGATATGAGGAGTGTTTTCATGGTAGTTAGTGTTTGAAAGTTAGCGTAGGTGCTTTTATTGCCTCAATTTACCATCTTGTAATAGTCCATTAAAAAAAAAGCCATCTCCAACTGGTTTCATGAACATGACAGTGAGGCCATTTTGCTTAATTTGCCTTTTCAGTAGACTTGTAGTCAAGACCGCCTAGACCAAGACCAAGACAGACAGAGTCAAGACCAAGACAAAGTCGAGACGAGACCGAGACAAAAAAGTCTTTAAACTGCAGCCAGATGCTGCTTCGTTTACGGGTGTCAGGCATATTTATCTGTTTTTGCAATGCACTCGCACAGCCCTCCTCACCGCTGTCTACTGTCTCCCTCACTTACTAAGTAGACAGACACACGCTCCACTTGACTGTCGTGTCTCTCACCCTCTGTTTTTCACATAATGATATTATCCTATATCCTCGCATGTGATTGGCCACAATATGGAGGGATTGGAGCATAGCTGAGCCACTGTGTGACAGCTGAGCAGCAAAAGGAAATTAAGTGAGGAGCCGGCTCTCGCTCAATGGGAGTCGACTCTTCTGATTCACTACAAAGCGCTCTCTAAGCACGGCTCTTAGAGCTGGTGCTTTTGCGCATGACACATTATCGAACGTTACGTTGTGTGTCGATCCAAGACAGCAAGACTGAGACAACGAGACCAAAACAAGACCGAGGAATCCGAGACCAAGACAAGACCAAGACCAAAGTCCGTTGAGACCAAGATAAGACCAAGACCACGTAAAAATGGTCTCGAGACCACATCCAACTCTTTTCAGTCATTTGATCTGAATCCATAAGACACTTTTTGAGTGTGGTAGAACTGCATTTTTCTGGTACGAGAGTGCAGATGATGAATGAACAGAAATGATGGGATGTAATATGACAATAGGAAACAGAAACTCATGAATCCATGCCTATGAGAACTGAGGCTGTTTAAGAGTACAACAAGTAACAGCATACTGTGCCTAATAAAGTTTATATGATCCTAAATTACACTCCTTAGTTATGCAAGCACCAATTGGTTAATGTTCACTCACAGCCACTTCATTAGGCACATTACATAATTAGGTGCAATCACATGAGAGCAATTCACTACTCATAGGCATGTAGACATTTTCAAGATGATCTGTTGAAGTTCAAGCATCAGAATTGAGAAGAAATGTGACTTAAGTGACTTTGAATGCAGTATAGTTGTTGTTTCCAAACAGAAAATATGCAGTGAGCAGCAGGTCTCTCAGAAAAATAAATCCTCTTTTATGCCAGAGTTCAGATGAGATCTAGACTGCTTTGAGCTGATAGGAAGGAAACAGTACTAACTCCTATAAGTACTGGTAACAACCAAGGCATGCAGAAAATCATCTTAGCACAGTGAATGGAACAGGCTTGAGAGACTTGAGATAAGACTACACTGGGTGCCACTCTAGTCAGTAAGAACTGGAAACAGGGGCTATAACGCACACAGTCTCACAAAAGTCGGACAATACATAGAAGTCTGGAAAAACACCGACTTGTCTGGCGAGACTCATCAGAATTTGGCATAAACATGAAAAGAAAAGAGGAATCCATTTTCCTTATGTCAACAGATCAGGGTGTGTAGGTTGTGTAATGGTTTTGGGGAAAACTTTGTTCCCATTAGTAGCAGCTGAGCATCTTTTTAAATCTTTATAAGTTTAAAAAGAATCTTAAATTGGTTTCTTGGACATGAAAATGAATTTACTGTATGCAAATAGCCTCCGCAGTCATCAGATCTCAATCCAATAGAGCACCTTTGGGATGGGATACAACAGGACATAGGCCTCATGTAATAACAAGAATAAGAAGAAGAAGAAGAAGAAGAAGAAGAAGAAGAAGAAGAAGAAGAAGAAGAAGAAGAAGAAGAAGAAGAAGAAGACATGGGATATTTTTGCAAGACACTTGGATAATTATTAGCTTAAATCATTCATTTGTTTTGACTAAGTAACTCAACTTGGTGCATAATTTAACACAAAGGTTTCTGTAAGTATCTTATATGTTCTGAATGTAACAAACTACATGTTACTATGCAACTCAATTCTAAATCTTTCACATGCTGTGACTGTGTGGAAGTCAAAGATGTTTTCTAACAACCAAACAAAGTGTCTGTCATAAAAATATTTTTCTAATTACTAATCTGTTGTTTTCAAAACATGCCATTTCCAAAGCTCCCAAACGTTTACACTTTTAAAAAGGCTCCAAAACTCCCAAACATTGTTTGGTTGTTATGGCTGGCTGCTCTAAATCTTGACTCATCTCTCAAAGATGGCCTAAACAGTAGAAACACTACTTTAATATACATACTGTTGTCTAAAATAGGTTATCTTACTGCTTCTTCCTATTTTCTTTTTAATCAAAAAAAGTTTACAATAATCATACTAACAGGGGTGGCTTTTGTTTCAGATGAGTTGCCTCTGACAAAAGCTTTTAATGTGATTTGAGCAGATGGCGATATTTGTTTTGGGGGATACACTCTAATGTGTGTTACAGTATGAAGACATGCAGATGCTCTATCAGAGAAACAACGCACAAGATGTTCAGAGTAAACCAAAGCTGAGTCTGGAGGACTCTAAGAACAATCAGCTGTCCTGGTTCCACAGCTGGAGAAAACTTACTCTGAACTAACCAGGTATAATTCTGGATCAAACTTTAATCAGTGACCATTAGGTACACCACATGTCTAGTCTGCTTCTTGAATCAGATCACCTGTATAATGAACAAGAAAAAGTAGAACTACGTTCAACATACAGCAGAGAAAATACTTGGATTGAGACAGATCAGGATGGTGACCTTAAACTTCTTTGGAATGAGGTGTAAGATGTGAAGATACTGTGAAATGAGAGGGAGGTGTAGCTATGAATGACAGAGAAACAGGAAACTATCTTGAAAAGGATGCAGACAAAAAACATGTCACACTTGATATAAAAAGAAGAAATCCTGGACACAGCTGAATGTAAAACAAACAAACAAACAAACAAACAAACAAAACCCGTTTAAGTAAATTTCCGTTCTTTACCTATAAATCCACATAATTATCATTGAATAGTTCATTTAAAGTTAGTCCTGAGTTCACTGAACTTTAGAGTTAAAGGCAGTGAACTTGTAGATTCTTGTGACTTATCTTACACTGTGAAACCTAAATATTGGCGAGTACTCTAATAACCTCACTGTGTACCTTAATACACTTACTGACTTCAGTGAGTAACCAATAGAGCCTTGTTCTAATGACCGGAGCTTGACTAATAATTCTGATGTGAATCTAGTGGGAAGTGTAACAGCTTTTTAGATTTTAAGCACTGTTACCTCACAGTGAGTGAAGCTGGGGCATTTCTGTGTGGAGTTTGCATGTTCTCCCCATGTTTGCGTGGGTTCTCTCATAGGTGTGAATGTGAGTGTGAATGGATGCCTATCTCTCTGTGTTAACCCATCCAGCGTTTACTCGGGATAAGGATAATTAGGAAGAGAAAGGCTAGATTGATGGGTTAAACAATAAATATGCAATGCCAGGGGTTCACTCCCTGCTTTCTGTTTATGACTACCAAATAACAACAATGTAATGTACATCATTCAGCACACAGGGGTCTGCACTGCCCCCCTATGGCCTTTAGATTCAACAGCAGCTCTTATACTGAGGTGATCGGTGATTTGGCTGATTTCGCGTGTTTCCAGTGAAAAGTGGAGTTTACATGTGGTGGACATTTGCTGCAAAAGAACTACAGATGTGTTAACAGAAGTCAATCAAACACACCCATGCAGAGCTGAATTCACATCCAAACTGCCAAACTCTTTTTTGCTGACATTGACAAATAAAAATGCTAATCTATCTGGTGTTTTTTCAGTCTAATGACTCTAATGATGTTGACAACATCAACTCAGAATGTTTTTGTTTTTATAAGTAACACAGAGCCACAGAAACTACTCAACACACAAAACAGGAAATACTTGCTGGAAACATAAATACTTCATTTAAAAAGAAAACAACATTCACACTCTACAAGAGGAGTGTGTCTTGGCAAAGAAACACTGATGCAATAAGGCATGGTTTATTTGGTCTTCTTGCCTTTGCCCTTTCCTTTGTCCCTTTTGGCCTTTTTGCTTTTGGCCTTGTTCTTTAAGGCCTTGCGAACGCTGTAGCCTCTCCACCAGGCCTGGATCAGAATGGCAGCTTTGGTCTTCAACTCCAGCTCTCTGATCTCCTCCTGTCTCTTCTCTTCAGCCAGCCGCCTCCTCTCCTGGATCTGATTGTACTCCATCTCCAGGGTAGAAAAGGGTTTCTCAAACTTCTTCCGCTCATTGTCCTCCATTTCATAAGCATTTTCATTCACCTCCAGTTTGGCCTAAGAAAGGTGATGGTGGCATTGGGGGTGTGTTGTGTCAAAAGTGGAGAAGAGGGAGATGGCAGTGGATATGGTTGTGGAGTGAAGAAAAAACAGAAAAGTGGTGAAAATATAAGAAATGCTTTGACTGACACTGAGCATCTTTAATTTACTAAGGACATAAAAAGGTAACAATGACCTAAAAGAAAACCCAGGACAACACCTTTATTTCCAGATGTTATACAAGAGTAAATACAACAGTTCTGGATTTTAAAGCATAGAAACTTGGATGTTATTATATATGCTGTGATAGAGCAGATCATGTATGCCACAGTATCCTTGGGCAAGATTATGAACCTAAGTTGTTTTGAGTGCTCAAGTAGAAACGTTATATATAAGAACCAGCTGATTTACCAATTACAATGAGTTCATAGAATAAATCTAAGTTTTATGTGTAAAATTGAAAATTAAATGTGTAAACACTTTCCTCATTGGATGCTTACTAGGGGTAACCATTGTTTTTCTTTTCTGAACTGAGTGGTTTCAGGCCTGCTTCCTGAACAAACTGACTGGGATTGTTCTCTATACAGGAACCTATTCTAATGGTCATCAAACTACATCTTTATTGATATAACCTTAGGTGTCAAAACTTGTCATTAAGTGTACAGGGCTGTCACGTGTTAATATTGAGCTGGTACTGTACTGTAAATACAGTAAATGTCACAACTTTGCATGGATTAGCCAGGATACTGTGGCATACAGTTTACCCAGTTTATTGTGAGGTGTCACATACTGTGCAACTGTGATAACCTTAACATAATATTTTAGGGACATATTCTGAATATAGTAATGAGTAATAAGTTTGTAGAAAGACCCCATGTTAATATTTTACAGACTAATTCTGGTACTTTGCAGTGGAAAGTTTGTACCTGGATTTCTCCTATTTCGTTGTCAAACTTTTGGATTAAGGAGTCAATTTTCCCTTGCATCTTTTCATTTTTCTGCCAAAAAACAAGAACAGTGAACATGAGTTTAATGAAAACCAAATACACTACCACAAGTAAAACATGAAACCTTATTGTTACACTAAACGTACCTCTTGGAGTAATCTCTCAGCCTGTCTGTTCTCAAGCACAACATTTTTGAGCTGAATTTTCAGTTGATCAATTTCCTGCTGTAAACGGTCCTGCTTCAGCTTTGACACCTGAATGTGTGCCTGCACCTGTTTGTCTTCAAAAGGCGACATGTTATCATCTGATACATCACCTTCTTGAGGGCTGCACGCCTGCAGCAAACTTTCCAAGTGTTTGATTGTGTTCTCTTTCTGGGAAATCTGTGATGTCAAAAGCAATGGATAGGAGGTGAGAAGATGGAAAAAATGAAGATTCTGCTTCTCTAGCTGCTAATGAAAAAGCCTTGACACCTTACCTCAGCATCTACTTGCTGTATAGCTTTAGCTACTTCTTCTTCCTCCAGTGCAATATTTTTCTCCAGATCTTTTGCAGAGGATGAAAACTCTTTCTGCTTTGTGATGAGCTGTAGCTCCTCGTCCGGGCTGATCAGAAACTTTTCTACCATTTGGCTATGAAGCACCTTTAATCCTTTAATTAATTTGTACTCCTTTTCCTCTATTTTTATATCTAGTTCTGCCCTCAAGCCAATAATGCCATCTGAATGGGCTCGGCAATAACGGAGAATATCCCTGACAGAGTTCTTGAGATCATTCCCAAGCTGAGCTCTCTCCTTCTCTCCTCCGATCCTGGCATCTCTTATTTGTTCTTCAACGGACTCCTGTTTTAGACTTTCTAGTTTCTCCAGTCTTTCCACTAAAATCCGATGTTTTTCAAGTGCCTTGCTCAAGTCCTTGTCAACAATCTCAGACTTACTGTTAAGGTGGAGGAGAGCGGGCAGAGCTGCTGCGGTCTTAATTTTACTGATGCAGTTTTCAAGTGTACTTAAAATAATATGAGCCTCACTAGAGAGGTGCTTGCTCTGTACCAAGCAACCATCTTCTGACTGGCTGTTTGGCAGCAATGCCAACCAATCTTCAGACATGTCAACACTCAGTGGCTTCGACTGGGAAAAAAATAAATAAAAAGTCTGGTTTTGTCTACAGTGTCTTAGCTTTTGATAAAGGCAGTGTGTTCTATGAATGAATTTAGCACGAGTTCGTATATTTCACTTTACTCTATAGCCTATGTCACACTTACTTGTGTTAAATCAGAAAACTAATTTTAATATTAGACAAAGACAACCAGACTAAAAAAAAAATGCAATTGTTAAATGATGACTTAATTTATTAAGGGACAAAAAAGTATGTAATCATGTGATTAAAACATTTTTGGAAAGCTCAGTTTACTTTCACTAACTAGTCGGATTACTGTCAGACCTGCTGAATCAAGAAATCGCTTAAACAAAACTTGTCTGACAATGTATTTTACACATAAGAGAAGTTACTTTTCTATCTCAGTTTTAGTCTAAAGTCACGGGCTCTTTGTGAAGTACTGTATCGGTTTTATTTTATACCTGGTAAATTAATTTTCTTATTAGCGAGCCAGTTAAGTATCTATAGTACTGTGAATGGTAAACGTTCTAAACTACACATCGTAAATTTAAAAAATGAAAAGGTTGTTCTCGGTTTTTGTTTGCTTGTGGCACATAAGCAGCTTTTACTTTAGTTGTGTAATATACAAAGTTAGCTAAGCTACATACCTGTAGACGTCTCTCAGTAAGTGTATGGGTTTTATTTGTTTTCCTGTTGCTAGGATACCAAATAGCCATTTACCGCTTCAGCATTGGATCATATTACAGATTGCTTATGTTGACAAAATATACACACACATATATATGAATACTTTACCACATTTCAAACAAATTCATACAGGTATTAGCTTTAAATTAATATACTATGATGTGTTAAAATTGCCGACTTTTACTTTGGAAATATGCATGGTCACTTACTTAGCCTGCCGTTAACTGCTGCTAGTGTCGTAAAAGTTTGTTTATCCAGTTCTGCCCATAAGTTGTAGGTATCTCTAGAGTTTTTGCGGCGTCGTTCTTGTACATAATGTTGCTCTCACAAGATAAAGCTAGACGTCAATTAGCTGTGAGTGGTTATCCGTTCTATGTGTAATCAAATTAGTTGTGTAGCTGTGCGGAAATGGTGCTGCCGCGATGGACCCAGACGGACAGCTTGTTAGCCTGCGTGACAGCGAGCCAGTTAAATCGGAGATAGATATTTGTGACAAGGAAGACACCAAATCTGTAAGCTCCCCAACCCCATGTCTGTTTAGCATACTGTAAAAGGCGCTAGAGCCTGTTTTTGACTATTCTACTATCGATATTTGAACTTGCATATAACACAGGATAGAAACTGTTCGGTTTGTCTGCTAATATCTAACCCTGCCGTCCGTCCTCAACAAGATGTGCAGTTCTACTGCTGTTTGCGGAGAAAACCTTACACTTATTTAGCTGTTAGGTAGCTGTGATTAAGTCTGACAAAAAGGTGGAATTCCAAGCAGGTTGCAGTCTGTTTATCTGCTAGCTAGCATGGAGACTGACGACGATGTGCCTCTCATCTTAACCTGGGACGAAGCAAATAGTGGTCTGCTCAGCGAGGAGCCTGAAAGAGGAGACGAAAGTAAGTCTATACAGTGATATCATCACATAACTCTGTAGTCAAGCAATGCAAACAATGTACATGTACACCAAGGAAAGGAACATGATCGGGGGAAGTGGTTTGGTGTCTCTACTGTAATGCTGTCGCAGTAGACATACAAGTAATACACAGATCCCATTGAGAAAGCACACCCGGCCAAAACTAATGCACTCCTGTGTAACACCTGGGTAATAATCCCCACCTTTAAGAAGGCTGTGGTGTTGGGGGTTCGTTCACCCCCAACATTTTAAATACACTATTAGGGTCAAAATTACAACACACCCAAGTTTCTAAGATTCAATAAGTTAAATCACTACTTCTGTACAGGTTCAGTCTGCTTCTTCTTCTTTTGGCTGCTCACTTCATAGGTCACCACAGCAGATTATCTCCCTCTATCTCACCCTATTCCTACATCCTCCTTTGTCCCGGCAACCCTCTCTTTTTGTCTACACCCTTGAATCTTCTCTGTGCTCTTCCTCCTTTTCACCTGCCTGGCAGCTCCATGTTCAGGATCCTTTGTTAAATACATCCACTATCTCTCCACTGTACCTTGCCCCTTGAAGTTTGTCTCCTAAGCCCACCGCCTGATCTGTCCCTCTGATATACTCATCTCTAATCCTGTCCATTCTGGTGACTCCTAATCAAAACTCTGCCACCTCCAGCTCTGCCTTCTGTTTTTTTGTCACAGCCACTATTTCCAAACTGTACATTGCAGCAGGTCTCACTATCATTTTGTAAACTGTTACGGATTCAAATATTGGGGATGGAGAAAGAGGAAAATCCAAAATAACAACACTGGTCCGGCCGGGTTGAGTCAAACGATGATTTTAATGATCACACGCGTGGGAGATGGACACCGTACGCAGACAGCATCAGATCTCAAAATGGTGGAGCATTGATCAAACTCGTATAGCCTCTAGTGGCCCCCACCTAATCATAAAAGCCTAAACAATCACATGCTTTCTCTCACACGGCGCCTAAGCTATGACCTTGGCTCCCTGTTTATCTGCTCCTGCTGAGATGGGGCAGAAAACTCCAGTATGTTCTGTTCTCTTCTACTCAGACAAATAAGGCGATGACTTTCTGCGAACAGTATTTCTTATAACTCAGCAGTATGTCCTTCTGTCACAAACCACCCCTGGCACTTGTCTCCAACCACTCCACCTTGCCTGCACTCTCTTCTTCATCTCTCTTGTGCCGCTGTTTATCGCTTTGGATGGTTGACACCAGGTATTTAAACAAATACAGTTCGATCAATACTTTTCTAAAGGTAGTCCAGATAAAATGTCAGCTGAGTATTGAACTCTGATGGTTGTTTTTACTGTACACTACAGTATTCAGAGAGGAGCGTTTGCATAAACTGTTTATTTTATTATAGCTGTTTATAGATGGAGTTAATGTTGTTTTTTTTAACTTACCATAATGCACTGGTGCAGTCAGAAGCGCTGTAATGTTGACAGTCAGCTGCATATATGTTGCACATCCAGGCTCTGCTGTTTGAATGGAGAAAACAGATTGTCCACCAGGCTCTGGGATCACGTGTGGGTGGAGCATGTATGAGTATCTGTGCATCTGCTTGACATAGTAATCCTGCTGCCTTTGTTTTCCTCACATATAAGCTACAAAATGACCCATCTGAAAAACTGCTGGTTCAGCTTAGAACTGTGTGCCCCTCAGCCCCTCCCCAGTGCATATGGGTAGCGTGTGTTTGTGTGTGTGTGTGTGTGCGTGTGTGTGAGTGAGTATCATTTTCTCTAGCTCTGGCATGAACAGGAAGAGGAGAGGAGTGTTTTTTCTGTCATATATGGGAGTGGTGTACAAGTGGGACAAGTCCTGCTGTTCTTGCCTGCTTGCTGCCAAAGCCTTCTGGAAATAGAGGGAGTATGAACCTGGACTCTATGAAATAAAGCTGCCTCTTATCACTTGAGTGACAAATCACAGGCTTGGATAGAAGTGAGGAATTTAGTTTTTATTGCCCATGTTCCGGACCCTTTATTTTTCTGGGACAAGTAGACATGACTGCTGGATCTGTTTATGTGAGCCTGACGTCACTGTGTTATTGACTGGGAGCTTCAAACGTATTATTGTTCTCAAACAAATGCGTGGTCGGAGTGGCACACAGCAGACGATGGGTGTACTTCTGTCAGAGTAACGGGTAGGCTGCCACTGGATTGGAACTTAAGCTTCTCGTTTCAGCTCAGTCTGCTGCTGTCATGGTGGATAGAAAACATCTGTGACCTGCAGCACGTTGGATTCTAAGGAGTCGTGCCCGAAGAGAAAATATGTGATGTACAGTGTGTGGGAAGAGTACCCCAACAGACTTGCGCCAGAGTAAAGTATGCAGCTGCAGAAAGCCGCATGGAGGGACAGCTTTGTTTGAGGAAGAACCTGGGACCAGGCTTGAGTTTGAATACTGACTTTGTCTGGATTTTATCTTGGTCACTTGACTTAATTCATACGATATTATGTTTATGTGTTTTAAGCCCTAACATAGGAGTTTCGTGTCTTCCAAAGTTCGTCACTCGCTGTCGTCTGGTATTGCAAAATCAGTTCCTTTTGTGGTTTTTCTGTCTCGTGCCTGCATCCTGTTTGTGGTATGACAGAGGCTTAATAGCAAATGTGATGTGATTGAAAGCACACTTTATTACTGACTGGCAGCACTGGGATCAAGGTTCACGTTGTGCCACAGAGTCAGGAGGAGGTAATTTTTCAGTCTGGCAAAAAATGTAATATCACTCTTCTGTGTGACTTTTGTTCCAAAACAAGCAACTGATTCTCAAAGAACTACAAGTGCAGAACCTCAAGAGCATCTGTGATCATTTTAAAAGGGGTCTGCTCTCCAGAGTCCTTTTGATCTCCGGGATATTTCCGGATCTGTAAGGATTTCATCCGGATCCACTTGTGACTTGGTTTCTGTTGTTTGCATCAGGTCTGTGTGGAATGTCTGGCCATCTGTATCTCCAGATGTGTATTGATGCTGGAACGAGACCAGCATACTGTGACTGGGACACACATGTAGACTTCGTCCTTGGAAGTAAGGGATGTTAATACCGTCACACAGCTGATGAATCCAGACTGACAAATGGAGAGTTCGCACACACAGGCAGCTGGTTTCCGTGAAGATCAGTCGCATATCGAGAGCCCTGTAGTGACTTCATCCTTTGCCTTACAGCTAGAACTAGAATGCATTGGTAGGCGGATACCCCTTTGTGTGACTCACATAAATAAGGGGTGTATGAGAACACTCACAATTAAGTCTTGTCTTCCAGATGGAGGAGGCAGTTATGACGTAGTTAACAACGCTGTGATCTCAACGCCTGGCCCACAAAACTACAGATCCCAAAATGTGTCCTTGCGACAAAGCTGGGAGATGAACTACCAAGAGGCAGCCATCTACCTGCAGGTATTTACAACCAGAGCATTGCTGCATTTATTAGTGTATGCACTCATTCACATGATCACATTATAGTTTTATTATACCTTCTACACTGTATTACTTGTAGATAGTTAAACCTTGTCCTCTCCCTGTGAGCTATATTTACATCCTGAAAAGCTGCAGGATGTTATAAATCTATAAACATGCAAAACTGTGCAAAATAAAATACAAAGGCAGTGTTGATGTACATGAAAGGAACTTTTTGCCAAAAATGGGGTTTTTGTCTTGTTGCTGATACAAAAACATAACCTCATAAGGTTTTGTAACTGTATTTTAAAAAGCCACAATTGGTGTAAAAATTCTACCCGACTGATTTTATTGGTTGATTATTGGCAGATTTGTTGATTTATACACAGCGTTTATGCAAAAATCTGACTTTTATAATGGTATCGACACATTCAACAGAATGTAGATTATTGATTTGTAAAACCTTTGAACTGATACGATGGAGATGCCAAGTTGGCCAGTACTGGTCGGTTTGCTTTTAATTTTCTTTTTAGGGAAAGAAGCAATCTTTATTACAAATAAATTCCTGTTTTAAAGTCTCTCTCTTTCTCACTACATGTTTGAATATCCAACCAGTGCAAAATTAATGTCAAAGAACAAACTCATAAACACTGATAAATCAGACAAGAAAGCTGCTGTCAATCAATATTTATCTGTGTGTCTCTTATCAATGTCTGAATGTTTTACTTTATAAAATTGGCAGTGGCTCCTAGATTTGGTTGGCCTGTTTTAAATCATTGGAAGAGCTGCAAAGTACAAATAACCGTAAGCACACTTGTGCGTTTGTATGCCTTTGAGAAGTTCTTTTTACATCGTTGGTCTGAATGTTGAGTTCTGCTCAGTTTAAATTAAGTGCAGAAAAACATTTTCTGTTATGTCTCCCGTGGAAGAAAAAAATTGAAAAACCAATTAAAAAAAAAAAACACTCGGGGAATTAAAGCTGTTTAAAAAATTAGAAAAGTTCATATCCATCCATCCATCACTTTTGCCAACTTGTATGCACAAATGTGTAACTTTTACATTTTCTGTGTAGGAAGGAGAGAACAATGATAAGTTCTTCACTCACCCTCGAAACCCAAAGGCACTTGCGGCGTACCTGTTTGCGCACAACCACCTGTTCTACATGATGGAGCTGCTGACAGGCCTGCTGCTGCTGATGCTCTCACTGTGCGAGGCTCCTGCTGTACCCTCACTGCGCCTGGATGTCTATGTGAGTGAATCTCTACTCGCTAACATACTAATATGAACTAAAAACACAACTTTACCTTACAGTCGCAGGCCACTTTCTAATTTACATCTTGGTAACACTGGGTTGGACCCTTTTCCTCTTCAGAACTGTACTAATTCTGCAGATTCATCAAGGTGCAGGAAACATTGCTCATAGACATGATAGAATCACACGGTTGCTGCAGATTTGTTGGCTGCACATCCGTGATGAGAATCTCCAGTTCATCCCAAAGGGGCTCTGATTGAAATCTGGTGACTGAGGAGGCCATTTGAGGACAGTGAATTCTCTGTCTCAGTTTGAGATTAGTTTTGTGACATGGTGTGTTGTCCTGCTAGAAGCAGCCATCAGAAGATGGGCACAATGTGGTCATAAAGCCATCCAAATGATTAGCAACAATTTGGTTTGTTTAAAGGATGCTCCGTTGGTACTAACGGGCGACCGTGGCTCAGGGGGTTGGGAATCGCATCTGTAACCGGAAGGTCGCCGGTTCGATCCCTGGGCTATCTGTCCTGGTCGTTGTGTCCCTGGGCAAGACCTACTTGCCTACTGGTGTTGGCCAGAGGGGCCGATGGCGCGATATGGCAG